GAACATATTTTTGTTTCTGTTGATTAAATACTTAATGGCATAGAATAGAGATTCCACAAAAAAATTTTTGACAAAGATGCTGAGATTAAGTTGGTACGGGAAGGAGAGTCTTTTTTTTTTGGCAGGGTTAAATGTTTATTAAACCAAGCTTTAAATTATACATCCACTTATAGTCTGTAAACAAATACAGTACACATGTAAGTAAATGGGCAGCAAATTAGAACCAGTGGAAAAACTAAAGTTCCCTTTGCACACTGGCACCTCACCAGAACACCCTCCGCAGGCCAGCAGCACAGGGCTGTGCTGGAGTTAAGGGTGAGATGAAAGAACCAGAGGGTGAGTTCCACTCCATCCCGAGGGTGGGTGTCAAGACGGGCATCTGTTCCACACCAGGCAGGGTGGACCACAGCAAGGCCACAGGGTAGTTTTTACATTCACAGATTGGCTGAAATAGTACAAATGAACTTCCTAATCTCAGTGTCTCCCTCCCTATCACCATCATTAGTAAGAAGTGTGAATTAAAATAAATGACGGACCACAGGTGGTTACAAAAATAGATGACTCAGAGTAATAAATATCTATAAGTAGCAGAACATAAACTTATATAAAATTTACCTTTTCCCATAATGTGCAGATTATTGTAAGTATGTTTGAGAGGTATGGTCAGCAGAATTCACAGTGGTAAGAAGGGATTTTTTTTTTTTTTTTTTGGTACCAGGGAGTGTATCCAGAGGCACTTAACAACACTGAGCCACATCCCCAGCCTTTTTTATACATTTTATTTAAAGACAGGGTCTTGCTAAGGGAAGGAGAGTCTTTTAACAAACAACACAGAAAACGAAATAAAACTTGATGTATAACTCTCATTATACTCAAAAATTAAAATAGATTATAGGCCAAAACATAAAAGTGAAGTTTTAAAGTATAAAACTTACAGATAGCAATATGGAAGAAAATCTCTGGTTTAGTTGAAGATCTCTTTGATATAAGAAATCTTATATTTCTATTTCTTAGACATAGAAAATTACTTTATAAGAAAAAGTGGACAAATTTGACTTCATCAGCATTAAAAACTTATGCTCTTTGAAGAGCACAATTAAGGAAATGAAAGGGCCAAGGACAAAAAGAGAAAAAGATACAAAGTTTACAAAAGAGATAAATATATGGTCAATAAACATTTGAAAAGATGTTTCAAATCAGTCTTGAGGGAAATGAAAATTAAAACATGAAATGCTGTTTGATGTTTACTGGAATGGCTAAAATTTCACAGGATTAACAAGGGTGGCAGGGATGTAGATCAATTGGAAAGCTCAGGCCTATTGGTAAAAGCACAAAATGATTCAACTTCTTTGGAGCAGTGTTTGACTTAGCGCCTCCCTTTTTTTCTGAGGCTGGCTCTGAACTCTTGATCCGCCTGCCTCAGCTTCCTGAGCTGCTGGGATCATAGATGTGTGCCACCATGCCTGGCAACATTTCTTATATTAATTAAAAAATTTTTTTTAGTTGTTGATAGACTTTTATTTTATTTATTTATATGTGGTGCTGAGCATCAAACCCAGTGCCTCACACATTCCAGGCAAGTGCTCTACCACTGAGCTCCAGCCCCAGCCCTCTTATATTACTTTTGATGGCCAGAATTTCTTTGGCGAGTTATAGGTCACTTCTGCTATGGCTTATTTCTTCACCCTTTAGTTTTATACCTCTTTAGAGAGAGTAGATTTTCTTGAGTACTGGGAATCACTATTTTTTCAGTGGGATTATATGAAGCTGTTATTTTGGTTCTTCTGTTATGTATGAGAAAACTACTGTGAAGGTAAGAGTTAAGTTTCACCATCATATTTACTTTGTCATTGGATATATATGGGAGATAGTAGTTAAGGTCTAGGATGTTTGGAGCTAACCTATTTAAATGGGGTTAAAGCAGGAATTATTTATGTATTTAAAAAATGGTTCCATGTATTAGTAATAGCTATAACAATTGTAATTATACTCAGATTCTAAGAGCAAGTGTAGATTAAATGTGAATATAGCAGGGGAAATATATATGGTTCCCAAATAACTACAGAAGGATGTAGCAAATAATTTTGCTTTTCCAGATGCTAATTTTTCTGATTCATCTACTTAGGATTATTGGGAGATATCCAATGTCCTTAGGCTGTTTTTTGAATGGGATATCTTAAAAAGGTTCTCCACTGGGTTTCTCAAGGAGCCTTCATAATTGCAATTGTCAGTACTTGAAGTTACATTACTATTGTTTCTGTAGTAGCTCTGGCAAGTGCTTGACAAATATTTGTTCAGTGAAATTTTGGGAAATACAATCTGCCACACCTTTCTTCTGCTGTCTTCAGTTGAGGCTGTGCAATAGACTTTTCTTCTTAGGTATTAGACTTTTGAAGACTGGATCTTATGTCTTTTAGATTGTCTATTTTTTTTTTTTTTTTTTTTTGAAACTTTTCATCTTTTCACTCATTTTAATCATTTTCCTTTACATTCTTGTACATATTTTGGAACTGGTTCTGTTGACTTTTTTTTCCCCCTCCTTGGTTATGGGTCATATTTTTCTGCTCTGCCTGTCTAGTAAATTTTAATTGATTCTTGAATGTGAAGGGATTCAGATTGTTATTTTCTCTGAGGGTACTGAGATTCATTTTAACAGGCATTTAAATTAATGGTTGATTTGATATTGTTAGGCTTGGTTTTCTTTGTTAAGGTAGGCCTATTTCAGATTTATCTTTTGTACAGTCTTATGGTCCCTACTTCTAAAGTGTGGCCTTTCTGTGGTCTCAGCTGAATATCAGGGGTACTCAGGTCTTTCCTCTCTGGTTGGGCCAGAATTCCAGCTTCTTTTAGTATTGCACTGCCTCTGGTGTCTTCTCATTATAATTTCAGATTCTGCATATATGCAGCCCAGCGCTTTGCCAAAAACCTGAGGTGAAATCTATGCAAACTTGTTTTTCCTTTTTCCTATACATTACCTACCACATCTCTGGCACCCTGCTTTACAGACTCTAGCTGTCTTACCAACTCAGATTTCTAATTCTCTATTCTCTGCCTTTTCACCTCAGCTAAACCTTTTATAACCTACCTGTAACAATTGTAGTGTGAATGAAATATGTAACTTTTATTAGTGATAGTTTGAAGTACTGCTTGTACTATCATATAACATGCTTTTTTTTCACATTCAAGTTCATGGACTCTCTTTCTCCTCCCCATTACACACATATTTTTAGATTTCCTCTCCATTTTCCCTCCTTCTAATAGTTATATTGTAGTTTTGGTTATATTGAGCTTTTTATGTGGTTATTACTAGATAAATGGCATTCCTGGCTAGCAATATAGTATATTGTGACTAATATTTTTTCCTACATATTTAGTTTTCCCTGGAATTACAAAGGTCTCATTTTTTTTTTCTTTTACTTGTTTAGTTTTCTATGTTCTTAATTTTAATTAATTCACAAATTCACCCCAATTTTATAAGTCCACCATGTTTGAGCACATTTGGTGTTCTGTCAGTTTTATCGTCTCCAGGATCTTTCTTATCAGCCCTAACCTGGGTTAATTGCTCTCTAGACTTGCTATATGGAAGTCTTTGATGCCTCTCACCATTATTCTGGGGATTCACCTGTCCTCTCCTGTGAGTTGGATTCTTCAGTTCCTGGAACCTGTCATCAGTTTTCATTGCTTTCTACTCTGGTTTTGGCATATCTTTGTAACTTCCTGGGAAAATATAGGAAAGTAAAATTATTTTAGAGTTTGCTTATTTTAAGATACTTTTATTTTATACTCATTTGATTTATAGACTCTGTCTTGGTGTAGAATTCTAGGCTGAAAATATTTTTCATGAAAATCAGAATGTTTTTCCTAATTTTTTTTAAAGATGTTAGATACAGTGGTATGTGTCTAATTCCAGTGACTCAGGAGGCTGAGGCAAAAGGATCTTAAGTTTGAGGCCAGCTTTAGCTACTTCGTGAGACGCTGTTTCAAAAAAAAAGGCCGTGGATATAGCACAGTGGTAAAGTGTCTCTGTGTTGAATCTCTACTGTTGGCAGGAAAAAGGGGCACTGTCATTTTGATTCCACATTCTTTTTATGCAGATGTTTCCGGCAGTGTTATAGGGTCTTCTTTTTGTCTCTTCAGCATTCAAAAATTTCAAAATTTTACTGGGTATTCATGTCCCTTTTTGTTTGAAAACTCATTTTTTAAATAAAGCTTTCTGTTTATCATTTGTCTTCTACATTTTTTTCTGATAGTTCTTCAGTATTATATTCTTATAACTCTTCAATTACCTACCTCATAAGGTTGAGGATTAAACAAATTTACATACATAGAATACTTTAAATAAGTGTCTGACATGTAGTAAAGACTTGTGGTACCTGTAATTGTTACTGTTTAGTTCCATAATTGTCTTGAGGGCATAGTCTTTGGTTTTGATTCTTTTACTTACTAGTTTTGAGATCTATCTCTTTCCTCTGGAAAATGTGAATAAGCTATCCTCTCAGAAGTTTGTGAGAGGTAAATAAGAGTATATATGTGAAAATGCTAATAACTTTTACAGAGTTAATAGTTGCTGCTTGAATCTTAATGTCAAGCTCTTTGTTTGAAAGAAAACTATGGCTGAATTTTAAGAGTACTAGATTTCTTGTACCTTGCAAATTTGTGTGAGCTAGGTGAACTTGAGTTAAATACTAATGCTGCCTTTTTCAATAAATTATTTCTTACTGCTCAATCTTGTTTTGTTATTCCAAAAAGAGAAGATAAGGAAAATATTCTGTGAAAAGCTCTGGCTTTACTTCAGATTGTATAACTCTATGTAATGTAGTAATTATTTAAGAATGACATGATTATTTATTTGGGTTATTTATTTATTTTTACTTAAAGGTATTCGAGATTAGGAAAAATAGAATCTGTCTTTTGGTTCTTCTCAATAGTTTTTAATGTAATTTCAAATGTTAGCTCATTTTTGTTAATGGTGGCTTTTTGTTTGTTTGTTTTGTTTTAAGGTTTTTGGATTCAAAGCATAAAAACCATTACAAGATATACAATCTGTAAGTATGTTTTCTTATTTGTACGCTTGCAAATATCTTCTAAATAACTAATAAGTGAAAGTTATTTTTTTGTTAGAGTAAGGTAGAGTTAAAGATACATATTTTACTAGAATTGTATTCCTAAAACAATTAGTTGAAGAAGACTGAGAACACTGTTAGATCATTTAGAAAGTGTAGTGATGAGATAAAACAATGTTGGCACAGATTCACGTTACTTGATCTGCTTTAAATGACTTGGCATCTAGCCCACTTTTGAGCCCCTAACCCTGTGGTTATTTGAAGTGTAATCCATAGGAGAGCTCTGTTAAGATGTCTTCCATGGAGGCATTCTCCAGAGTGTACATGATTTTGTTTATTCAGTCTCTTGATCAATTGATTGAAGAAGGTATTAGAGTATTTGGTTTGTAACATAATAAGTTATCTAAAATTGTTGAATTAGATAGTTTCTATTGTCTTGGGCAGGGTTTTAAGGGTTGCCTACTTGATAGAGCTAGTTGACCTTATCTTTAATTTTCTGCTTTTTCTTTTGACTTTGGGAATAGAGACATGAAAGGAAAAAAAGAAGGGAAAGAAGGGAAAAAAATACTTAAATGATTTTGCCCTTGAAGACTATTTTTCCTTCTCAAAGTACTAACCATTTTCTAATTTTTGAAAAATTGGAAAAACATTACATTTTAAAGACTGGTACCTGGCCTTTATTTTTTTTCTATTTATAAATGATTATAATAGAAAAAAATATATAAAGTTATATACTTGGTCACAATTGTTTTTGTAGAGTTATTTATCAAATGTTATAACAAGATTCTCTTATGCCTCCAGTGGACATTTAAATCTTTTACCAAAAAGAATGAAAGATTTTTTATGCCTTGTTCTTTTATAATAATAAAACTCATAGGTACTGGGTGTGGAGTAGACACTAATGTTGTTGTCTAATGAGTTTTCAGTGACTTCTTCAGATTCACAAAGGTGCAAACATTTAGAGCTTGCCAAATGTTAGACATTATGAAACACACTGGGCGTGGGTACAGAAAGGATAAGATACCAGTTCAGTCCTGAGGTAGCTTGTAGTCTAATGTGAAAATTAAAGTATTATAGAAGATGTAATTCTTAAATACAAGAAGGCATTGAAGAGAACAGTAGAAATAGTAATTGTGTTCCATATGACAGTTTTCATAAAGGAAGGATATTTGAGTTGTAGTGAACAGAATCAGTAGGGACTGACTCTTAGGCCAAGGAAGAAGGAAAATGGCATAGCAGAGTGAATAGCAAGTAAGGAGATTGTTGGCATAATAGTGTTTGGAATGTGGCAGATCATTTATTTTTGTCGGATTGTGATGTGTGTATGTGTGCCTGGGGAGTTTCAGTGATAAAACATGCTTAAGTTTAGGTGAGCCCAGTTTACAAATGATCTGTGCATTTAGGGGTCATCTATTCTAGATTAACCTTTCTTATAGTGCCTTGTTGTTGTTTTGTAAGAAAATAAAAACCACATAGCTTTGTGGTTTTTGAACATCTCTATTCAGAAATTGAATTAACAACAACAAAAAAGAATTGTCAAAAGCTGAAATCCATTAAATAGATCTTGTCAGTCTTAGACTCTCAGAATTGGGGATTTGGAATCTTAAAAGGGAGGTCAAAAGACAAATTCTGCAATTGTCATAATTTTATTCTAGTTTAGTATATCTAAAGGGAAGGAAATTGTTTTCATTCCTGTATGTAGTGGCTTCCTGCTTTCTGGAACTTAGGATTTAGGCTTGTACTATTGATGTTGTGGGTCACTTACTACATTATTATGGTTAAAATTGGCTTTGGGGGCTAGCCTGGGAATGGGAATGCCTGATTTGTATTTCTAAACATTGGAATCCCAAGATAATGAAATAACTCTTTATTAGTCTAGAATAGCTTTTAATGCATATTAACTCCCCCTCCTCACATGAAATGTGGACTTTCAGAGCTGGAAAGTACTGAAAGAAATCTTTTAGTATAACCTTCTCATTTTACAAATGGGGAATATGAAGCCTACAGAAGTTAAGAGAGTTAACAGTCATAGTAGCAATCCATCCAATGTTGATGCCAGTGTTCCCTTTATTTTTTGTTTTAACCTCCCCCAATTTTGTTCTCTTCAAAAGTTTCTAGAGCTATCAGTCTGTAGTATGTTTCTGATGTTACTTTCCAACCTTTACCTTCTTTCCACCCCTGCTTATTATATATCTGGTTCTGGGTAAGTGAGTCTAGCATCATTAACAGTTGTTTCTATTTTATTTCTTTAATTTTTAGAATAGTAATTACATGTGATATCTTTTTCTTTGGAAACATACAGATAGGAAGATCTTAAAATATTTACACTAGGTATACCCACATTTAATAATATGTTATGTTTTTTGTAGCAATTGCAATTATGATATACATGGAGGAAGAAGAACTCTTAATGTGAACTTTGTAATAATTAAATATTCATGTCTCTATAGTTTCTTCAGGCTTTCACTAAATTATTTTTAAGACTAGGTAAAATTAGCCTTATAGAATTATCAAAATTTAAGTATACTGATGCTTGTTAAATTAATCAGTATATTTTAGGGTACAAATACTTTTTATTTTTTGTTTTTCCCTCTTTATAATCTATACACTGGTAATGGAAGGAAGGGAGATAGGAATAAAGTCATATATAGTTAACCTTAGTATTCACCAAATGCTAATTTTCAAAAGATTTATATATTTCATTGCTTATTTTGCTGATATACTTAATCCTTTTGTAGTAAAACTTTAGCTAGTATTGATTTTTTTTTTTTTTTGGTGGAGGTGCCGGGGATTGAACCCGGGGCTTTGTACATGTGAGGCAAATACTCTACCAACTGAGCTATATCGCTAGCCCCTCGTATTGATTTTTTTAAAAAATATTTTTTTAATTGTAGATGGACATAATACCTTTGTTTTATTTTTATGTGGTGCCGGGGATTGAACCCAGTGCCTCACACATGCTGGGCAAGTGCTCTACCACTGAGCCACAACCCTGGCCCTCCTCCTATATAAGATAAATGTAGCTATGTTGTAGAGTAAAGAAGAGACTCACCTGCTTAGCTAACTATATGGCAAGTATCACTTCTTTGGAAATTTTTGCTATTCTTATCCCTTTCTTCACTCTGCCTACTACCACTTTAAAAAAAAAAAAAACCCTCAGTACTTCTTCATTTTTCTTGTCTCATATAAGTAGTATAAGGGTAATAATAAAAAATTATATCTTTTGAGTTTTAATTATAAAGATATTGAAATGATTAAATCCCAATTGTTTTCTAAGTATCTTTGATTTTAATATGTTGAGATTTATCACTAATATATCGCAAAAAAATATAAAAGAAATTTTGTTGGGGGGAGTGTTGTGTGTGTGCATACATGTGTTTAGGGAGAGCAGAGTCTTCGTCTTTGCCCTTCTAGCCCTTACCCTGAGCATTTGCACCACCACCAGTCCTAGCTTATACTTTCCAGACCCCCATATTACCTGTAAAGATCATCATAATGTTTTTGTTTTTTATCATCACTGTTAGTTGGCTTTGTATTTTGTGATAAATATTGCTTGAGTAGGAAGGTGGCTTTGATTAAAATTTGAATAAAATTTGTAATTGCTTTCATATTTAAAACTTTTAATGTTTTTTATTCTAAGTAGAAGTATGATGCAGTAATAGAAAATGTTTTGTAACCAGTGATACTGAGCTTGAGTTCTGATTCTTCATTAATATATTGTGATTTGGGGCAAGGTTTTAAATGTTCTGCTTTCTCATAAAAATATGAGGCTAATATTAGTCATTATTACATGTTTGTGAGGATGAAAAAAAACATAAAAATTCTTAGAAGGTTTGCGCATCTCATAGCATTTAGTACTTGTTATTTCTCTTTCCCTCCATATATTCATCTTAGAGTACTATGCTGGGATCAAACCTAGGGCTTCATGTGTGCTAGGCAAGTGCTGCACCATTGAGATACAACCTTCAGCTCCCAAACCAAACATTTTGATATCCTGAAAAAAGTATGGGAAGTTTAGAGAACTGAATCTACATGAAACTGACATTTATTTTCTTTCTTCTTATTATTTTTTAGTGTCAATGGACCCTTCCTTCCCTCCTTCCCTCCCTCCACAGTGCTGAGAATCAAACCCAGTGCCTCACATATGCTAGGCAAGCACTCTACCACTGAGCTACCACCCCAGCCCCTGACATTTATTTTCTTTTGAGCTGTTATGAAACTAGCTTCTTAGAGTTATTTTATAGCCTTATATCCCACTTCCTAAGCCTTTACAGAATTCCTTCTAAAATACTGCACCATGGATTGTTCACTACTGATCAGTCTGCTAAAGAAAGTATAAAATTTAACTATTTTATTGGTCATTTCTCTTCTGTTTATCATGTTTTTCACATTTGTGTGGAATTATTTAACAGGGATACATATGACATTACTAAATACATTTTCTTTTTAGCCAAACTCAGTATTCTAAATTACAATATACTAAAAAGAAAAAAAACTTTGTTTTGAGTGGTAATGTGAAAGTCGATTTATTATAAGTATGACCAGTTTTTTAACAGTTTTAATTTATAATTAGTTAAATTTCTTGTGAATTTGAAACTTTAGAGGAATTATATAAATGTTTTCCATATTTCTAACTGTATAATACAGGTTCACAGTAGCTTATTTAAAAATTTTGGAGCTAGTTATGTTTTAATATTCTGAATTTTTTGGTTTTCAGAAAGGCAATACAGAAGCATATAGAGACTCTTTAAGTATATTAATTAAGGACTACATACAGTCTTAACACCTCAAATCAGATTCTACAATTGAGATTGCCATAAATTAAAAGAAAATGTTAGCTGTTTTGTAAGTTTAGGGTTTTGTAGGTTAAGGAGCAGTAGATCTTAATTTGTTCTAAAATATTGATTTTTATTTTAAATAGTTTTAAAAATCTGGTTTGGTGGTAGTTGGATTTACTATGATGCTGCTGACCACACTGTCAATTATGAGTAAGCCAGTACATAATAACAAAGACATCACTACCATTAAAAAGACAAATATTTGTATGCTCTATGAATGCAATGTTAGAATTTTACTATCCTGTATTGATTTTACTTATTCTTTCATTGCTTTCAGATATTAAAATTTATAATCTGAGAGATTATTTAACTGAATTTTATTCCAGGCATAGGTAAATTCTGTCTCAGAGCCCACAGAAATTTCCAATTTATTTGTAGAACCCTTTAAACCATGAGAGAACTGGAGAGTTTGAGAAGTTTGCAGATGTAATCTCAGATAGGCATATTTGCCATTGATCCCTCCTGAAAATCTAGAGTAGATTCACTAAAAATGACTTTGGTTTATCTAAAGGGAGAAAGGTCTGGTTTAAAAAAATTAAGTAAGCATCGTGTCCAAATAGATTAGCATCATTCAGTTTTCTTTTGTCCTTTTGCTTTTAATATTTTTAACATGTTTTCAAATAATAGTTTAAGAATTGTATGTGCTCATCTGATGAGATAAAGACAACAATGAAATTATTTACTTGTTTACAGGTACTTGTAAAATAAAAAAGTACATTCTAATAACAAGTAGAATTTCTGTAAATTTGAATATTATAGATGCAATTTAATTTGTAGGGCTGTATGATGAGGGCATCACAAATTTGATAAGCAAATGTATAAGCTCTGTTTGCATATACTTCACATCTTAAACCTTCACTTCCTTAATCATAAAATGGGGATAGTTTTAGTACCTACCTCACAGAATTCTTGGGATTAAATGAAAGAGTGAATATAAAATATTCAGCACAATGCCTGATTCAAGAAACTTTTTGTTATTATGCCCAAGTACAAAAGGTAATTTATGCCACTTTAAATTTTTCTTTTAGATGTGCTGAAAGACATTATGACACCGCCAAATTTAACTGCAGAGGTATGTATAAATGTACTGTAGTATATTGTATAACTTAAAACCAGTAGACAATATTGTACTGTCATAACAATAATGAGTTATCATGATATAAATATTTATCTTAAGGATAATCTTAGACAACTTGGAAAAACTAATTTTGCTGTTGTACTTTAGAAAAAAAGTATCATATAAACCTATCTATTGTCTGGAAGACTATAAAGTGTAGAATAGACAGGAGAAATTACTAGACTGTGTTTGTATCATAAGGAGGGGGTTTCCCTACTGTTTAAAGCATTTGATGTCAGTATGCAGTTTCAGAGAGAAAGCAGAACTACTTTTCTGCTTTGAGGAATGACTTAAAGATAGGAAGGATAAAATAACATGGATAAAGAGGAGCTATTTAGGTGAAAGCATGGAACTATTTTTTTAATTTTTTATTTGTTTCAATTAGTTATACATGACAGCGGAATTCATTGTACATGAATGGGCACTTGATCTCTGAGCCGCATCCTCAGGCCTTTTTATTATTTAGTTTGAGATAGGGTCTTGCTAATTTCTCTGATTATGCACAATATAGAGGCACATCGTTCATGCAATCATACATGTACCTAGGGTAATGATGTCTGTCTCATTCCACCATCTTTCCTACCCCCAATCTCCCTTTCCTTCCCTTTCCTCCCCTTTCCTCCCCTTTCCTCCCCTCTCCTTTCCTTCCCTCTCCTCCCTTCCCTGCCCCTCTCCTGCCTCTCCTCCCCTTTCTTCCTCTTTCCTCCCCTTTCCTCCCCTCCCTGCCCGTCCCCTCCCCTCTCCTTCCTTTCTCTCCTCTCCCCTCCTCTTCCCTCCTCTCCCTTCTTTTCCCCTCCTTACCCTCTGCGCAATCCAAAGTTCCTCCACTCCCCCACCCCCCATTATGCATTGGCATCCACATATCAGAGAGAACATTTGGACTTTGGTTTTTTGGGAATTGGCTTACTTCACTTAGCATGATATTCTCCAACTCCATCCATTTACCTGCAAATGCCATAATTTTATTCTCTTTTAGTGCTGAGTAATATTCCATTATATGTGTATACCACAGTTTTTTTTTATCCACTCATCTATTGAAGGGTATCTAGGTTGGTTCCACAATTTAGCTGTTGTGAATTCAGCTGTTATGAATAATGATGTGGCTGTTCACTGTAGTATTTTTTTTTAAGTTTTTTAGTTGTAGATGGACACAATACCTTTTAATTTTATTTATTTTTATAATTTGGTTCTGAGGATTGAACCCAGTGCCTTACATGTGCTAAGCAAGTGCTTTACCAGTGAGCCACAATCACAGCCCCTAGTGTGTTGATTTTAAGTCCTTTGGGTATAGACAGACCAAGGAGTGAGATATCTGGGTCAAATGGTGGTTCCATGCCAAATTTTCTAAGGAATCTCCATACTGCTTCGGGAACTGTTTTTTAACTGAATTTTATTCCAGGCATAGGTAAATTCTGTCTCAGAGCCCATAGAAATTTCCACTTTATTTGTAGAATCTCTTAAACCATGAGAGAACTAGAGAGTTTGAGAAGCTTGCAGATGGAAGCCTCAGATAGGCATATTTGCCATTGATCCCTCCTGAAAATCTAGAGTGGATTTTTAAATGGATGGTTTGAGAATTCTGAAGCATTAATTACCAAGAGTAAGTTTAATTTCACTAAAAATGGTTTTTTTGTGTGTGTGTGTGTGTAGGAAGGTAGGTAGGTAGAGTTAGGTTTTTGCTTACTAGACAAAGCATGCCATTGGCTGAGGTTTCTTGTTCTCTCTCTCTCTCTCTCTCTCTCTCTCTCTCTCTCTCTCTCTCTCTTTGGTACCAGGAATTGAACCCATGGGCACTTGATCTCTGAGCCACATCCTCAGGCCCTTTTATTCTTTAGTTTGAGACAGGGTCTTCTTCCTAAGTTGTTCAGGGCCTTACTAAGGTGCTGAGGCTGGCTTTGAACTTGTGATCCTCCTGTCTCAGCTTCCTGAGTCATTGGATTACAGGAGTGTACTACCATGTCTGGCAAGGTTTATCTCTAAAGAGATATTTTACAGATTTTCTTGAATGTTTTTGTGTGCCATTTAGGAAATTAAGATGAAATAATGGTCTAGTTATGCAAATGACTACGTGAAAACTGTCCCACTAACTGTATGTAATAGTAGTCATTATCTATCAGAAGAGCTTTCCTGTCATACCAAAGGATTTAATTGATCGTAGTCTCTACTATGTTATTATGACTTGAAGATTCAAGACATAGTGTTCACATATTTAGATGACATAGAATAAGTAGTACATTGGTGTCAGGATGTTTAAGGATCTTCTTAATAGATTGAAACCAATGCATATACTAAATGATAAAAAAATTTAATAGTGATATATATATATATATATAAGTCCTGTTTCTAGGCAAATTTTAAAAAACCTCAACTCTAACTTAGGGAACAGAGAAGTCTTGGATTTTTAATAATTTATGTGAAAAAACCTGAAACTTCATTTTATAACTTTACTACAATTATAATCTTTTGTAAGTAATTTTTTTTTCAGTTTCTTTTGTAAGTGCTTTTCAAGGCATGTGTAGATAACACTAAGATTTGTAAAACCATCTCTCTCTTTTTCTTTTCCTTTGGCACTGGGGATTAAACCCAGAATCACATTACTACTGAGGCACATCCCTAGCCTTTTTATTTTTTATTTTTTGAGACAGAGTCTCACTAAATAGCTTAGGGCCTTGCTAAGTTGCTGAGGCGGGCTTTGAACTTGCCATCCTCCTGTTTCAGTTTCATTTATTTATTTATTTATTTTTATATATGACAGTGGAATGCATTACAATTCTTATTACACATATAGAGCACATTTTTTTCCCCACAGCATTTTTTTTTTTTTTTTTTTTTTTTTTTTTTTTGAATTTTTAATATTTATTTTTTAGTTATCGGTGGACACAACATCTTTGTTTGTATATGGTGCTGAGGATCGAACCCGGGCCGCACGCACGCCAGGCGAGCGCGCTACCGCTTGAGCCACATCCCCAGCCCTCCCCACAGCATTTTTATTTTATGAAGTTAAAATACAGTCCTTTCCACAGTTGATTCTATTGGTAATCTATACTTTCTTTGAAATATTTTTTGTCATGATGCAGTATTATAAATATTGTTATTCATTTTTTTTTTTTGTTAGAAAATGTATTGAGAGACCCATGTGACATTTCATTTTGGATTCAGGTATACTTCTGGTGTATTGTGACCTCTGCTCCCAGTCTTACAGCAATTTCCTCCTTCATGAAGTGAGAAACATAATGCTTGGGTACTTTTAGAAGTTAGCAATAGAGTATTCTCTCTTCAAAAATTGGAAAGTTAATGAGCAATAAGGTATTTGTATTTAGTTTTTCTTTCAAACACCTAAGTTTATAATGCAACATTTCTAAAGTTTACCTACTTTTAATTAAAAATTCAGGAGAGATTTTTTTCTTACTCTGAGGTTATCTTTTTACCACAGTTGCACAGTATCCTTTTGAAGACCATAACCCACCACAGCTAGAACTTATCAAACCCTTTTGTGAAGATCTTGACCAATGGCTAAGTGAAGATGACAATCATGTTGCAGCAATTCACTGTAAAGCTGGAAAGGGACGGACTGGTGTAATGATTTGTGCATATTTATTACATCGGGGCAAATTTTTAAAGGCACAAGAGGCCCTAGATTTCTATGGGGAAGTAAGGACCAGAGACAAAAAGGTAAGTTTTTATATTCTGTTCTCCCTTTCTTCTTCTAGATCCAAGAATTTATTGCAAGACAGACTTTTTTCTTTTTCTTTTTTTCCCCTTCACCTTTCTTAAGATATAATGTGATATTTTGATACATGTATGTATTGTGAAATGATTACTACAATTGGTCTGCTCATCATATCACCTCATATAATTATTGTTTTCTCCCTATTGTGGGGAGAGCATTTGAGATATACTCTTGTAGCGATTTCTTTTCTTTTCTTTCTTTCTTTTCTTTTTTTTTTTGGTACTGGGGATTGAACCCAGGGGCGCCTAACCACTGAGCCATATCTCTAGCCATGTGGCCCCCTCACCCACATATATTTTATTTTGAGACAGGGTCTTGCTGAGTTGCTTGAACTCATGATCCTCTTTCCTTCAGCCTCCCGAGCTGCTAGGATTTCTCTTAGCAATTTTCAAATTTGTAGTATATTATTATTAACTGTAGTCACCATGCTGTTTATTTAGTCTCCAGATCTTATTTATCTGGCCTAACCGAAACTTTGTATAGTTTATGAGTAATATCCCCCTATTCCCATCTACCCCCATCCTCTAGAAAAGAGATTTTAAAAAGATAGTTGTTAATGCCTAATTTCTTTCAAAAATTTTAATCAAGTACTGCCCCACCCAACTTCTGTATGAACAAGTATCTAATTAATTTTTCAGACCATGCTGCTGTTTTTATATCATGATAGCAAATCTTACCTATTAACTTTATTACATATTGGATCTTACAAAAATCCTTATAAAGTAGCATTTTAAAAACAGCATATTGCTGGCCATGGTGCTACATGCTTACAATCACAAACTTGGGAGGCTGTGGCAGGGGCATCATAAATTTGAGTCCAGCCTTAGCAATTTAGCAAGGCCCTAAGGAACTTTCCTTATATCACAAGAAAAAATAAAATAGGCTGGAAGTGTAGCTCAGTGGTGAAGCATCCCTGGGTTAAATACCCAGTATACAAAAAACAGACAAACCAATCCAAAACACCCCTGCATATCAATCAAAAGTAAGCTTACTGTTGCTGAAGCTTGCTTGAGAATAAAATGTTTTGGGATAATTACCTGAATATGATTATTACCTGATAAAGTGTGATCATTTATAATAAAATTCATTCTTTCATGTGAATAATTATAAAATGGAGTTACAATTAATCAGAGATTCTTCAGTTTTTTAGAAAACTAAAAACCTTAAAAATCAGCAACAAATTTAACTTACTGCATTTGAGGGCGAAAAGCAAACTCTTGAGAGGTTTTTACAATTTTTCAAAGGGTCAATTTCTTTGGATGGTAAGTATAATAAAACATATTACCTTTTTAATATCCTTTGTATTAAAAAGAGTTTTTGTACGTTTCTTTAAGTAGAACAAAACCCAAACCTCTCCAGATGGAGAAAACTCATTTAGGGAGAGAGACATTAATCAAAAATTTGTTGTAGTTTTAATAATTTTATAACTAGGCAGAGTCTTCTCCAGGATAAGCCAATTTCTTCTTCATTCAGCTTCAAAACAAATAGAGGTTATCATATTCATCATTTTAAGCTGAGTAGTTGTATCAGTTTCTTTTTCACCTCTTGTTTTTTAACCATTTGTTTGTCTTTGTGACTTTCTGAGTTATATGTAAGGACGCCAAAGTACCATTTATTGGAAATAGTTCACAAAATTGGGTATTAAAAGTCGGGTAAAAAAATTTTGTTTTGGTAAAGTATAAAAGTTGTGTGATGAGCAGAACGCTAGATTTAGTAAGCTAGGAGCTTAAAAAAAAACCTGTTCATGTTATATAGCTTTAAAAAATCTGATGAAAGCCAGACATGACAAACACCTGTAATCCCAGCGGCTTGGGAGGCTGAGGAAGGAAGATCTTGAATTCATAGCCAGCCTCATTTTAGCAACTCAGTGAGACACTGTCTCTAAATAAAATACAAAAAAATACTGGGGATGTAACTCAGTTGTTAAGTGCCCCTGAATTTAATCCCTGGTACCAAATCTGATGAAAGTTTTAAGTGTTTTCCCATTAAACATAGGCATGGATACATAAAAAAAAATTTACTTACGGTTTTTAATTGTACTGAAACTTATTTAACAACATAGATCATAAAAGACACCTTCAATTTATTTGTGAGTTTTTTTCCATACAAATATCAGTGGCCACAGTATATGAGAATGATGAATAAATCAAAGTGGTATAAATTAATCAAAATTAAACTTTAGTTTTCTTAGTAGTAAATTTTAAGGAATGGGCTAATGTTATTTAACTTTTTAAAGTAACAAGTAAAAACTGTGCCATTTTCTTTGACTTTGCAACTTATATGCCATCTTTGATATCCATTCAATATCTCACAAATAAAAGAACCAAATGGAAGATGTAGAATCCTTTGCCCAATGAAAGTAAGCTTGTGTCAAGAAATAAGAGTATGTCAAGACTCTTAGATAAATTCATGCTGCATCATTTTCCTTGCCTTCAAGTTAATGAAATAATTTTTTGGCAGTATCTGCATCATTAGTGCTGTGTTATGAAGGAAAGCATTATGATTTCACATTTCAGTTTTAAAGTTGAAGAGTTAAAACTCCTTAAAAGAGTTTGAGAACTCTTGATTTAAAGTCTTGGCTTTTATGAATTTGGCAACTATTACAACAGATTTTTTCATGACAGTTCTTGCACAGACTATGATTCAAAGCTTGGCACTTACAAAGCAGTAGAATACTTTCACAACAACAGATAAGGTTTCTTTCAGGATTAATGTGAGTCTTGCCACTCTGAGGCACATGGATGAATAAAGCAGTGAGTGATGATGGCATGGAGAGCTTCTGTCTTCGCTAGTGCAGCAAAAGCAGATGTGCTGCCTGACATTGAGGTATACTGTTTTTTACAGAATACTGAGGTTTCTTCTTGGCAAAGAAACTTGGCCATTTTGAAAATGTTATCAATGTTTCCCAAAATTTTCAAAAATAACTCTTAAGATAGGCATCATTCATTGATTGTGTGACCATGTATGTATTTGATGAAAACTACTAGCTGGGTGCACTAAGAAGTCATATGCTGAAGGGAGGTGGTATTTCCAGTCATTTCATGACCTGTTTTATAGTCTCAGAAAAAAAAAGTCAGTGATAGAGGTTTTGACATCTCATTGTGATACAAATGAATATCATGTCCTATGCATTTTATTGGGTGAATTAGTCAGCCTGTAGTAGATTGAATTGTGTCTCCCTTCATGAAATAAAAATATGTGCACCTGGAAAAAAATTATAGAGGTTTTGAAACAGTATTTTTCTGTTGCAAGCTACAAACGTGCTTGACTCTTTCTGAGATGTTTGCTTTCATCATGTTCAACTGTGTGGCTTTTTGTTAGTTTGACATTAACCAGTAGCCTGGTAGGTTGCTTTATTCAAGATTTTGAGTCGGGTCAAACAAGAGTTTTGTAATGGTCTGGGCTTTTCTAAGTTGTGCTCTCAAATGTACTGTTGTCTTCTCCCTGTTCCCTTCCTCTTAAGCACACCTTTCCATCCATATGTGCATATATACTCTGTCTGATAATAAGTGCTTCTTCTGAATAGTTGGCTATAGGCTGCTGATGGTGATAATTTGCCATGTAAGAAGCATTTGGGATAATCTGTCTCATCATGTTCAAGATAAAGGTAAAATCTAAGGATGCTCAAACTTTCTCTGTTTCTATCCAGTTCAAGTTAAATCCAAGAGAAGTTTTCATAATCAAAAAGTGAAGACATACTTAATTTGTCAGAACATATTTAGTCATCACAATCTGGTAACATTGTCAGTTCTGTTTCTCTCTAGAAGTGAGGAAGGGGTGTTTAATGAAATGGCAAGAAGCCCCATGGAATATTGTGAGATAGGGTCAGAGTAAAAAGATTGCTAGAGAAGTATTTATGAAAATAAAACAAATCTTGCAGTGTCATGTGATAAAAAGTAGTAATACTTCATTAGTAGAACTGCTCTCTCTTGGCATCTCCCCCAAGAGAATGTGATGGGCTAGTAGGAAGTAGAAAATGTAGACCTATGTGGACTGCCAGGAATGTATTTGATAAAATTGTCAAGTTTATTTGTTACAAGGTATTAAAGCACAGTTAAATGGTTTTAGCTAAGTTGATCACTTTAGCTAAGTTGATCACTTTAGCTAAGTTGATCACTTTTAGTGTCAGAATAAAATAAATCATTGAGATCTACTGTTCTTAGCTCATGCTTAGTTCATATACCTAGACCATGTTTTGGATGAATTATTCACAGGTCCTGAAGAAATGTATTCCTACCTTTTATCCCTGTGTGTATATTAAAAGGCAAAAAATAAATTTGTGAGCAGATGATGTTGACTAAATTGTGTTTTACTTAATGTTTACATTTACATTTTAGTTTGAAACAGCATTAGAAAACTAGGAATAATGGATAAAACTCTTAAGATTATTGGGTTCCCCACCCCCTCTAAAGTTTCTTATTTTATAGATGATAAAATGGTAGAAAGGTAAAATATTGTCATCAGTATTATCCATATGTCAATGACTGCATTGAGAGTAAAAGTTGAGTCCCTTGCTGCATTGTTAAATTTCTTTCTACATTATCAAGTTCACAAATATTTGAACTGAAAAAGAATTTTGAGATTCTTCAGAATAATTTATGTAGACTCCTGAAAGTTTAGATAATACTGATGAAATAAGTCTATTTTGAAGGTTCCTCGTTTTATATTCTTATTTTTTAAATGTTATTTATTTATTTATATTTATATGTATGTATGTATGTATGTATGTATTTATTTAGGGGAGCATACTGGGGACAGAACTCAGGGGGCACTCGGCCACTGAACCACATCCCCAGTCCTTCTTTGTACTTTATTTAGAGACAGGGTCTCATAGAGTTGCTTAGCACCTTGCAGTTGCTGAGGCTGGCTTTAAACTCTTGATTCTCCTGTCTCAGCCTACCAAGCCGCTGGGATTACAGGTGTGCACCACCATGCCTGGCTT